AGGAGGCCCCGCCGCCCGGGCCCCCAGGGCTGCGCTGCGCTGAGATGGAGCTCAGCTCACCGAGGCTGCTGAAGAGCCTGCGGAGGGAGAGGGGTCAAGGCCAGGTGAGGGGCGCCAGTCCCGCCATTTTTGTGGCTCCCAGGTGAGAACCAGTGCCATGCTGGTGTGTGTGTGGGGGGGGCGGGGGGGAACCCTAGACTGAGTGGAATGAGGAGGAAGAAAACCAGCAGCCCCATTCACTCCACAGGGGCTCCAAGACCCGCCAGCCACCAGAGGAAAGGCAGCCTCTCCTGCAAAGGGCTGCTGCCCATCCACCCGGCCCTGCAGGGGAGGCTCTGGCAGAACCCTCACCAGTCCCCATGCAGCTCTGTTCTCAGGAGACCCCGAGCAACTAGGGCTGGCTGCAGGGAGCTGTGTCGTGAGAAAGGCTGGCTGTGGCTGTAGCACGAGCCTGAACAAGTCCGTGACACCAGACAGACCACACGGACAAGCAGCACGTGCAGGGCGGGCCTGAGGCAGCGACACCATGACACCGTCTCCCTGCACAGGCCTGCGCACGGCAGCAGCAACAGCATCCACACGTGTCACAGACATGCAGCAGCAGTGGCAGGGACCTGCTCATGACAGGGACGCAGCACATGTGTGCGGGCATGCACACGCACACATACACACCCACACACACAATAGACAGATGGCACCTCACTTCCCAACATCATCTGGTGGGACCCTCCAGTCCCTCGCCAGCATGGTCATGCCGGGAGGCCTGCTGGGGGACTCCCATGACACCCCCCTTCCATCCCCTAGAGTGGCCAGAAGCCTCAGGAGGCTGCCAGGGGCCCCGCAGCCCCGCGAAGCCGAGCAGAGCAGAGACCGGGCGGCCAGGTGCAGCGCATGGACAGAGGCATGGGATGAGCATGCTCACTTACACAGCCGGCGCTCAGGACCACCGCGCAGCTAGACAGAGCAGCCACATGCAGATGGGCAGGAGAGAGCAATGAGAGAGAGTGTTAGCAGCCCGGCCCACACAGCAGGCACGCGGCCCACAGTCACGACCACAGTCAGGGCAGCCAGGGGCAGGGACCCCTGGCCGGACAACCAGTGAGGGAGGAACTCCAGTGCAGTGGGCCCAGGTGTGATGGGGGGAGGGGGCAAATCTGAAGCTGCTGAGGGTATGGGAGGAGGCCAGACTGGGGCAGATCTGGCTGGCTCCTGGTTTGCCTGAGACCTGTTCTCTGGTTTGTGAGGTACAGACCACAGAGTCCCACCCACAGGCTGTAATGACCACCCCCAGCCAGGCTCCAACCCCGAGTGCAGCAAGTGCTCAGCAGGCTTCTGGTACCTGATGTCTCATGTCCCCTCACACTCCACTCTGCTTCCATCCCACCTGCCTCTGCCTAGCTAAGGAATCCCCTCAGGGCACCCCCACCCATCTCATGCCGTCCTGAACTGGCACCCATCCCACAGCATGGGGTGTTCTCGGCATCCAACCTCCCCTTAAAGCAGGTTTTGTCTTTTCATCTCCCACCTGAGCAGGGCAGCCTCTCCCTGGAGACGCAGTTCTGTCCCTCCTTCCACTGGCCCTCTCTCCTAGCCTCTTTTCCTACCGTCTCCTCCCAACTCATTCAACCCACAGCAGAGCCTCTTGAAGAGGCCAGACCATGCCCTCCACCCCAGCAGAGAGGAGCTCCAAGGACACTGCGGGCGGCCCAGGAACAGACACCAACCAGAAGAAGCCCCTGCCTGAACAAACCTGATCTCTATGGCACCGTGGAGTGGCAGAGGCAAGAAGAATGTCCAAGGGGGCACTGCAAGGGGAAGGTGGGTGCCGGAGGTAGTGACACTAGGGAGGAGGCAGTGCTGGGAAGATGCTAAGTGGCCTGTGGGATTGGGCCCCAACACAGGCACTCCCACCAGGGCCCTCACACAGCAACCCTAGCCTGGGACAGAAGTGTAATGATGACTTGACGGGATCACAGCCAAGCTGCAAAGATGGTCTGTGTAGGCAGTGCTGGAGCCCTCCTGCCTGATGGGTGAGTCGGAGGCCTGGGGTGAGGGTGGGCGGGCTCCAGAGTACCTGGGGAGACTCTCCCTTGGAGGGGTGCTGGGTTCAGGGAGGTGGGCACCAGCCAGACTGGGACTGGTGCCAGGAGGTGCTACGAGTGAGGGACTGAAGGGCCATGTGCCACCAAGCTGGAGTGGAGGGAGAAGGCCAGCTCATGCCTAAGTTACCCAGATCATGTTGGAGGCAGGAGGCCTAGAGGAGCCTAGGGCATGGTCCAGGGCACAGCAGGAGTGGCTGGGGTACCACCGCCCAGGTGTCTGCTCCTCCTTCCCTACCTGTTGGGGACAGGGAACTGCCCACATCGTCCCAAGGGCAGGAGTCCCAGCCATGTCTGCACACCCATCACTGTCCATCACCCCTCTCAGCTGTCTGACTGCCCCCCAGCCAGGCTCCCACGCCACAGCACCTGCCAGCCTGCCACCCTGTAACACACAGTCCTGATGCCCTGGCACCCCTCCTCCAGGCAGCTCAGCAGCCTCCCAGCATCTCTTCCAGCGTCTGGATCTTGTACTGTCCTGCCTCCTGACACCTCAGCCAGCCAGTGAGGTCTGTGCAGGCTGTCAGCAGGACCCCTTGCCGACCTGTTGCCTTTTACAGTGCCCTTCCCACGACCCTTCCTCCCTACTCAGGTTTCCCAAGCTGCCGTCTTAGTTGGCACTTTCTCCCCCATCTTTGCTACAGCCAATGTGCCCACATGGGTGGCCTGGCCAGTCTGGGTCTCCAAACATGCTCTTCCTCCCCCCAGGCCTCCCCCTACCAGGGGCCTGCAGCCACCATCAGGCCTCCCCATGATGTCAGCCTCGTGGCTGCCAGTGCCCAGCTGCCAGCAGTGACCCAGGCCTGCTCCTTGGCCCCAGCCACCTGTGAATCCAGGTCTCACCCAGGACCTTGCATCCCACTTCCTCACAGCTTCCCTGAACTCGTGGTACCTAACACAAAGCCAAGAACACAGATGCACTGAAAAAATGACACCAAACAAAAGTAACATGATTCCCAGGCTTGACTACTTGTGGGCCGTTGGTGTCAACAGGCCAGAACATGTCCACTCTCTGGCCTGGCCTCTGCCTCGGGGCTCTGGGGCAGCGCTGAGACAGGACAGGCAAAGGCCTGGGGCCTCTGTTGTGTGGGAACCTTGTTTAGGGAGATAAGCCTGAACAGGAGCACAGAATTAGACACAGGCTTGTAAGCTCCACCCACGCCAGTCACAGCGCCCACCCCTGCTGACGGCTCCAACCTTGACGTGCTACAAACGCCTCTACACCCCCTCGTCTGCAGCCCCTTCCCGATCCCCTATCACATCTTCTGGGGACACATTGCATGTGTCCCAACCTCGTGTCACCTACAAGGACATCCTGGCCCCAGCGCCCCCACTCTGGCCAGCACACAGCAAGCGTCTGTCCAGGTTTCAGAAGAACTAGCCCTGCAGTCACACGGGGTTTCCTCCAGATCCCTGTCACACCTGTGAACAGGACGGGGCCCAGTAGGAAAGGGTTTCTTTGGCATCTCAGGAACTTTTGTGAGGCACTGACTAGTGATCTACTGAAGAAGCTGACAGGCGCGAGACTACAGCACACAACATGTCAAAGGCATTAAGAAGCACTGCAGGGAAGAAACCTTTTAACTTGGTGTTTCCCAAGCTATGTCGCTACAAACTGTCCCCTATAAAGCCAGATGTGAGGGCCATACGGCTGTGAAACAGCCACAGCAGAACTGAGTGTTGCCGCGGGGCTCAGAGACGCTGTGGACCCCACACCACTTGTGGGGTCAGATCTGACCACAGAGCCTGGAAGACAAATGGAGTTCAGGCAGATGGGGACCTCAGAGAAAATGTGGGCTCTGAGCAGACAAGCGTTCTGTCCCCCAGGCTAGACCCAAAGATGGGATCACAGAGCAGGTGGATGGCCTGGTATCAATGTCCCCCAAGCCAAAGGTCCTGGACCTTCCGGGCAGTAACCAGCAGCTGCATCCTCCACCTTCACCCGAAAAACAAAGAATGCCCCCAGCAAACGGGCTGATCATTCCTACGAGTGACCGAGCTTCAGGTCCATGACACACCGGGCAGCTGAACTCGCCCAGAAAGATCTCAGGCCCCAGAGTATCTTGTGGCTAAAGGACATCAGAGCCTGGATTGAGGCACCCACTGAGTGGGAAAGGTGGGCAGAGAGGGGCATGTCTGACAGGTGAGGACAGAAGTGGGTCTAGAACACATGTGGGACTGGGACAGGGAGCAGAAGTGTGATGTATGGCCAGTGCCTGGGGCCTCAACCAGGAACTGTCCTGGGAAGGAGAGAGCCTCCCTGGACATTTGTCGCCAAGGCAGGACCAGCAGAAGTGTTATCACTGAATGAGAAATGACTGCCAGACTCTAGCCACCACTGTCTGTAGGACAAGAGCAGCCACGACAGGGCCCAGCCACTGCCAGCCACGGGGAGCATGATCCCGTGTACCACAGTGCCCTGCGCACACAGCACACGGCACCCTGCTCCGAGGGCAGAAAGGGGAGCAAAGGGAGAGGGAGGAAGTGTGAGCAGGAGCCAGGGAGATGCGAAGGAGAGGCAATTTCAGGCACCTGGCAGATTGGGGGCACTGAGTGGGCTTGAGTGCAGGGATTTCAGAGCACAAGTGCACTGGTTACACACTCCTAATAAATAGTGCCGACCACAGAATGGATGCATGCGCTTCTGTGTGAGACGACTGTACATAAACCCCAAGTCTGTCGCCAGGACGGTTTTGGGAAACAGAGGCTCCCAATGGTAGACAGAGAGCAGGACCCAGGTCAGACAGATGCTGCCACCTCCTGGCTGGAATGCATTCTTCAGCACGTCAGTTCTGTCTGGCCATGGAGACTGTCAGTGTCCGGTAGCAGAGTGGCTGCAAGGATGAACGGAAATGGCACGACATCCTCTCGGGTCACGCCCAGCATGCATTTCCCCACAAGGACCCGAAAATTAGCCTGGCTGCACGCTGGGGGCCAATGATAGCAGAGCCATGAGAGCCTGCCACACTGCAGTCCTGGGCGTGGAGCTTCGCAGGGGCGCTGCCTGCCACCCCCACCATTTCACAGGAGGGGGACTGTGGTTCACAGCGTCTAAGTGGCTTGTCCAAGATGACAGCGCTCAGATGCGACCTGCTGAGGGTTGAAATCCAGGGCCATGTGACCCCAAGCTGATGTCAGGCAATGAAGTGAGTTACCGAAGTTGGTGAAGGCCATGTCGCAAGGATGTCTGTTGTTTTAGGCTGCCTGGCACCTGTACCTCTGGAAACAGCACCTGACTTTCCCTGGAGAACCTCCCTCTGTCCCTATCAGCGCCAGCTCACTAGCTGGGTGGACCCCATGCCCAGGCTTCCGGGACAAGCCTGGCCGATGACAGCCGTGTCTCCCTGGCCCCAGTGATGGGCTCAGGGGAGAGCAGGGAACCATGGGAAGCGAATTCAGAAGATAGAATTCTGCAGGAACTACTGAGTGAAGGAGGCTCACTTTCCAGTGGGTGCAGAACAGACGAGATGCAAAGAACGTGCCTTCCCACCCCATGTCTGAGAAATGAAATGAGCACAGGGTTCTGGCACAACTCAGAGCCAGGGGACAAGAGCCCCTCATGCTGACAGGGGAGAAATGTTGAGGATGACCTGTGGGACGGTGAGTTCAGAGAAGGGCGAGTAGGAAGAGGCCAGCTGAGCAATCCCTCCCCCCTGCCCTGTGACAGCCCCAGCCGTCCCATGGGGGCCAGCACAGAGAATGACAAAATCTGGGCTCGACAATCAGTAAATCTGAGCCACGCATCTGTCCTGTAGGGGTTTGTCCTGAGCCACCTCCCTAGATCTCAAAGCACAAAAGACAGCACTTGCATTGGGCTTCATTCTTTCATCTGTTTAGCAAATGTTTATTGAGGGTCTGCACTGTACCAGGCACTGTGCTACCCACTTTAAATGGCTTTGATTTTCATCGGGACCAAGGGGCACAGAGGGAGGAGGAGCAGAGAGGATGGGGGTGGTTGAGGCTGGTCAGGGAAGCCCACACCTCTGGGTCCTCATCCCAGCTGGACACCAGTCATGCTCACAGTGCCTGCTCTGAGGGCACTTTCAACACTGCCCTGCCAGGAAGGGGGCTTTCACATGCCACTGGGAGATGGAAGAGGACAAAAGGGAAGAGGGTCCCAGAGCAAGCCCCTGGGGTGACAGGAGCGGGGCCACACTCTTGGATTTCTGCCCGGCACTGGGAGCTTCCCAAACCCCCACTTATCCTTTGAATCCTGAATTGAAAGAAGACAGATAAGACAAGCCCTTGAGTGACACCTGAACCCTCACTGCTTTGTGAACTCTGCCTTCCAAGTGGACAGGAAAAGGCTGGCTACATTTGGTCAAGGTAACAAGAAGTGCGGGGGGGGGGGGGGGCTTAGGGGCAAAGAAGGGTCAACCAGTGACCAGCTCTGCCTCAGACCAGCACCCAAGGAGCCACAGGGGTCTCCATGGGGGCAAAACCCAACCAGGGCACAGGGTGGCCCCTTCAAGTTCCCACCTTGGGCAGGAGGTGGGAAAGTAAGAGAGACAGAGGGACAGGGAAGGTCAGAGAAGGCAAGAGGCCAGATGAAGGGAGCAGGGAGATGGAGTGGCTTCCATATAAGGGCAGCTTCTCCATGCACCTTCAAAACCCCACAGTCTGTCTAAGAGACTCCGAGGTGGTGCTGAGAGACAGAAATGTTTCTGGGACAGAAAACAAAAAGTTGGTGTGGGTCCCCCAAGGAAAAGGACACGAGGCAAGAAAAGCTACATGAAGGAGTCCTGGCCACATGCAGCCACGTGGCCACAGCGGGGAGGACCCAGGGCCAGAGGGAAGCCAAACAGGGCAGGGAGGTGCGACTCTGGACTAAGCCACAGATGCCACTTAATGGTAGAGCAGCTTTGGTCCAGGGTGAGCTGCAGGAACTCCAGGTGGGAGCCTCCCGGAGAGCTGTGGAGCGGGGGCTCACCCCCAGCCTGGACCTCTGACGGTTATCCTGTTCCCACACTCAGCACCAAAGGGGTGGGGAGAGCAGCAGCCCCGACACTTCAGATCCCCTGAGAGAGCCTCTTGCCTCAGACAGACGAAGCAAGGCCAGATGAAGGACGGAGAGGTAGACAGGAGGACAGGAAGGGGTGGGACAGATGGAACCATGATGGACAAGAGGCAGACAGGGAGGCCCGTGGACATGGGACAAGACCCTCCCCAGCTGCCCTGCTCACCGAGCTGCCGCGATGGGCGACTTCTTAGAAGGGTCCAGCAGGCCGCCCAGGCCACCAGCCGGCTCCTCCCCCAGGGAGCGTGTGTCTTTGTTCAGCTGCTGCAGGCGGGAGCTGAGCTCACTGATCACAGTTGGTTTGTCATCTTCGGGCCCGGGGAGCCCCCGGCTCTCCATGGGGTCCCCCCACAGCTTGGACCTTCTCTGGAAGAGGTAGCGAGGGCGAGCAGGCCCAGCGACAGAGGCCAGCCCGGCGGAGGCGGCATGGTGCTGCTGGGCCATGAGCTCACTGTCCGAGGACTGCTTCAGCAGAGGGTCCCTGAAGGTCACCGGCCCCTTCCCCAGCGGGGACTTGAGCTTGGGCTTGGGAGGCACTGGTGGCTTCTCGAGTAGAAAAGTGTGTCCATCAGCGAAGGAGGTGTGGGTGTCAGTGAGCTCCCCGCTCTCGGAGCTCAGGGTGGACATGCTGGACACTGTGGAGATGGTGCTCGTGGTCTCCAGGTGGGGGTCGCTGGAACTGCGCGTGTCCACCTCCTCCACACCCGAGTCAGCTGCAGACTCAGGGGCGGGGGGCAGCTCACTACTCGCCTTCCCTGAGGCCGGGCCTGGCACCGTGGCGGGTGAGGGAACTGGGCCAGGCAGTGTGGTCAGAAGGAGCCCGTTGGCAAACTCTTCGGGGGGTGGCACCAGCCCAATGCGAGCCAGTTCCTCTCTGGTCTCCTCGTCGCTAGAGGACAGCTGGGCAGGAGGCAGGTTCACAGTAAAGACCAGCTCTGGCTCCTCCTCCGAGCTGCCCTGGCCGGGCCCAGGTTCTTTTGGAGCGCTGCCAGGGGGCTGCGCCCGTGGGCTGGGCAGGGGCTCTGCCACCACGTGTGTGTGTGTGGGCAGGGGC